TTGATGTTACAAGTAAAAAGAAGTTTGTTTGTTGGTAAAATTCTTTTTATGCATCTGTAATTCAACCATTTTAGATTAACATCTTCAACAGCGTAATGCAATCGTGCGTAAATAGCAGGCCAATTCAGCCGCCTTCCACCTTCAAGCTCTGCTTCCCACTTTGTGTGCGATTTTTCACCCCGAGTAGTATCTAATACTTGTTCTAATAACTTGGAGTATGCCCATCTTGCTGGTTTAGATGAATTTTGCAACTGTTCTATAGATGTTGCATTGACACTTCTCTGAAGGTTTCGTATTTTATTGCTCCAAGCGGTTGGCACTGCGTTTTTTATTGCCGCTGAAACCATTGGGTGCACACCAAATTTTTGTGAAATTTCATTGACTGTCATTAATTCTTTCTTTCGTAAGTTACATATATCTGCTAGTCTAATGATACCTTTTTCTATTAGATGTTTCCTGTTGATATTGGCATTGCTTTCTATGTTCAAATCTTTGTTCGCCCATAATATGCTATTTTGCAATTGATCTGTGGCACTAAGATTAGCTCCGTTAATGTTATTCCATGCAATGCACGTTTCCTCCCAAAAAGTATTCTTTACCGTGTTTTTTATGTACTTTGCATTTGTATTGCAGTGAAACAGCGTTATGTCGTCATTTAGAAAAAGCATTGGGGTCACCAGGCCCTTCCACTTAGCATCGTGGCTTTTATCTAGGAGTCTTTTTATCCAGGTAACCTTTAAACTCTGTGCCTGAAGTGCTAAGTCTGGCACCTTTAGGCCGCCACCTTTATATTTACTTTTTAATGTCATACGTTTGACTTTATCTTTCTTTCCGCCCCATATGAATTTGAACATGAGCTTTTCTACTTCTTTTATAAATGGTTTTGGAGGAGCTGGAAGCACTGTCATAACATACACCAGCTGAGATATCAATTCGGTTTTCAAAAGGTGAACGCGCCCGTATGGAGTAAGACCGCGACCTATCCATGGCGCTAGTTTATCCTTCATTATGACAAATTTCTCATTATAATTTATTTCTGAAATGTTAATATTCGGGTTGTTAGATACCTTCACGCCCAATACATTAATGGGTGTCGTTGGCCACTGGATATTAAATTGCGTGCAAATCGGCTTTCTTAAATGTCCGTTCCTACCCAACCATAGAGCTTGTGACTTATGCCGGTTCAATTTCAGCCCAGATGCTGTTTCGAAGTCCTCAAAGGTATCCATACATTTATTTAGAGATAGCTCAGATCCATCCATGATAATCGTTAAGTCGTCAGCGTAGCTAGATACTTTAACCCTCGCCGGACCTATTGGTTTTCTACATACGCGCCGGCCGAGGGGGGGGGGGGGCGGGTACGACCCCCCCCTCGCCGTTTCGCCCCTGGTGGAGCTAGCGCGTCGCGGAAAAAACGAGCGTGTGCGCCGTTACGAGACGCAGAGATTGGTACCCGATTTTAAGGTCCTAGGTCAACCGGTGACCTCTGAGGTCAGGTCAAGTGCCCCAAGGTACGGTTCAGTTTTTGGTGAATAACTTCGCAAAAAACGGCCGCAGAGCGCCGATTTAGGCAGCATCGTGTTCGTCTCGCTCAGGCGCGTCGAATGATATACTTTTTGTCCGGGTCAGGTCAACTTGGGGTGTTGACCTCAGGTCAAGGTCAGGTCAGCACCCCCAGGTCACGAAGTTGGTCGAAAGAGGTCATGTCGCATATCATTCGATTCGGCAGGTCTTCCTGAGTCCATTGGTGGCTTTCCCGACTCGCTAGCTCAATTTGATCAAGAGTTATTGACGAAAAACTAATATGACCTTGATGACGTCATAAATGACGTCACGCAAGGTCAACATTGCAAAAGTGACGCATCTAACCTTGCAAGGAGTGCATAAAATCACGATTCTGTGTGCTTGAGATAGTTGGGGATCGTTCCCGGCGCCAGAATAGCAGTTTTCATTTTTCCCCATTGACTTATAATGGTGAGGTCACGAAAATGACCTGACCTCATATGACCTTTAGGAAAAATCCGAGATATACAAATTGTGGGACTCATAATGGATACTAGATCCTGCAAGTTTCATTTCCCTGTGACATCTCCTCTGGCAGTGAGGGCGTTGCGAAGTTGCGACATCTGAAGACCGTGCAGAGGTTCACTTATGACGTCATAGGTCAGTGACCTGACCTGACCCAAAAATGCGGTTGGTGTCAAAAGATGCGGCTTGGATCAAAGGTCAGGTATGCCAAGTTTCAGCTCTCTATCGCCAGCGTGTTCGGAGCTATCGCGAAAAAACCCTATGGGGGGGGGGGCGGCACCCGCCCCCCCCCCCTCGGCCGGCGAGGGTTAACATTTGCTCCGTTAATTGTCAGTCCTTTAATTGCATTTTCTTTACGAATTCTCTCTAGAAGTGGTTCAAAGCATATGATAAATAAGAGACAACTCAAAGGGCATCCCTGTCTAAGGCCTCGCTCAATTTTATACGGGCTTGACAATTTACCGTTTATTTGCACATTTGCCTGACATGATGTATCCTGCCCACCATTGTAAATAATATCAATCCATCTACAAAAGTCTCTTCCAAACCCAAATCGTTTCAATGTCTTTTTCATGTAAGACCAATCAACGCTATCGTAAGCCTTTTCTTGGTCACATGCTAGTAGGATTGCAGGAATATTTTTGTTTTTACATGCCTGCATGACGTCAAGTATTAATCGAATGTTTTCACCTATGTATCTCCCTTTAAGGAATCCAGTCTGATCTACATTTATTATGTTCGGTGCAGCATTCGCTAGTCTTGTGGCTAGCAACTTTGTTATGATTTTGTAAAATGTATTCAGGAGACTAATAGGCCTTAAGTTTTCGATTCTTCTTGGATCTTTGTTCTTTTTGGGTATCAAAACTGTGACACTCTTCTTAAGATTTGACGGCATTACTCCGGAACTAAAAATTTCTTTACATGTAGCGAATACTAATGTTTTCAGCTCTGACCAAAATACTTTGTAAAATTCTCCAGTGTATCCTGATGGCCCAGGAGAGGTATTATTTTTTAATGAAAAAACTGTTCGGGTCAGCTCTTCCATCGTAATGTCTGCATCGCATGTTTGTCTATCATGTTGTGTTACTTGACTTAACCCTTCTGTAAAGTCAATTCGTGACTCATTCCTAATACGGCGTTCAAATAGCGTTTCGAAGTACCTTTTTCCTTCCTCCAACATTTCCTCGGTTTTGTTAGTAATGGTACTCTGGTTGCCCTCATTTATATACATTTCTCTCGTAATGTTTTTGGGGAAATTTCGCTTAGTTATGCCGTGGAAATATTTTGAACCCTTCTCTGCGAATGCCCTCCAGCGCACTTTATTCCAAAATATTCCTTTTTCTGTTTGATCAGAAATAATTTCATCTCTCTTCCTTCGCAGTTCGTCACACTCGCCATTCAACGCATTATCACCTTGCTTTTCATTTATTTTCATTTCGATTTCTTTGAGTTCGTTCAAACAAATACGTTTCTTGGTTGCAACGTACTTTATGATTTCTCCCCTTACAACACAAAGCGTCGTCTCCAGCAATATTGTACTGGAGGAGGCACTTTGTTCGTTTGAACTAATTACTTCAGGTATTCTGTTTTGGATCAATGATACAAATTGATCGTCTTTCAAAAGATCATTATTAAATTTCCAATATCCTTTTCCTATGTCAACATTGGAAATATTTATCGACAAAGTAATTAACTTGTGATCTGTTAGGTATCCGTCTACAATCTTTGCGCTTGGCCTCTTTTCACTGTACATTAAAGTTTCGCTCACGAGGAAAAAATCTATGCGTGATCTACTAGTCGGGTTATTTCGGATAAAGGTGTACTCCTCCTTTACTGGATTGATTTCACGCCAAATATCGATTAAGTTCTTTTCAGACATCAGGCTTAGGATGACTTCTTTGTTTCTATTATTATTTGCTACAATCCTTGCTGAACTTCGTCTATCTTTTCCCAAGTCGAAGCAGAAATTAAAGTCACCTACAACAATCGTGCTATCGTCGTAATCATTTAGTTTTGCGCAAAAATCTTCTAGCATGCTTGGGTTATCGTGATTTGGCGCATAAACGTTCCCTATCGTCATCCTAGCACCATTGAATTCGGCGTTGAGGATAATGTAGCGACCATTATCGTCACTAAAAACATTGCTAAAAACGATGCCAGAGTTTGGTCGTGCTAGTATTCCCACGCCTCTGCTGTTTTTCTCTCCATGAGCGAAATATCCACTGCCTCCCCATTGATTTAACCACATCTGGGCGTCTGATTCTGATGAATGCGTTTCTTGAAGAAGAATAATATCTATTGCTTTCTGTTTAAACCAGGTAAATATTTTACGCCTTTTTGGCATTTTTCGTTGAGCGCAGCCTCGTAGCCCGTTTACGTTGAGTGACGCTATTTTAAGCTTAGGAGACACAAACATTTCCTAAATTTAGCATTCCACGGTCTGCATGCGCATCGTCGCTCCATCTGTGAAATTTATAGATGGAGTGCAATGTAATACTGTTTCGATAATATTTTGAGTTTTGAACCGTAATGCTCCCGTAGAACCCTCCCATCCCCCCTCCCACTGGACGCAGCGTACGCACGCTGTGCCAACGAGCCGGCACCGATCGCCCGCAGCCGCACCGCCGGCCGGCCGCCAGATGGCGTTTTTATTTCGCGCGAAAAAAACAAAAAAAAATCAGCATACGCATTATTTAAACGTAGGCAAGCTAACGTTACATCTCACTTTACGAAAAAGAAACGCAAAATGTAAAGCACATCGCCATAATATTATGTAACGTTTCCGTAACTTTCATACAAAGTAAAGCACTGCGACCCTTGTCAGAACGATCATCGCGATGTAGCCTGCATTCCAAGGAAATTCAAGAGATAACAGTACCCCCAGCAATACACACACCGACACACCCCTCCCCTGCAACCCGCGGTACTGTTACCTGTACAGGTAATTGCCGACGAAACCGTGGTCACCTGCATTAGTCCAGGTACAGACGTCGCGCCAGGCTGTACCGGAGACGAGCCGTCGCGACAGATCACCGTCGCCCGTCCGCGGCCGCGCCGCCCGAGCCGGGCTCGGCAGCCGACCGACCGGAGCCGCCGTCAGCTCGGCCAGACCGCCACGCCGCCGGCGCCAGCCGCGCGTCCAGGGCGCCCCCGCGCGCTCCGCCGCCGCCGTCGTCGTTTGCGTCGCGGACGGCACGAACATCAGCAGCAGCAGCGGCACCGGAGCGATCGACATCGGCCCCGCCAGCCGCCGCCGGACGCCGGCCGTCGGGACGGGCGGCCCCGCCGAGGAGTGACGTCACCTGGTCCATGCTGACCATCTTCTGACCTCGAGACTCGCTGTCCAACTTGCAGAAGACCGCACCTCTCCTTGAGTACACGGTGTAGATTTTTTTACGCTTTTTTGCTTCGAGCAGAGCGTTGAAGATCTCCTTGTTCATAGCTGATAACGACTCATTGATATAGAGAGGTGCCGCCGGTCGATCTCCATGGTTTTGTACTCTGGCTTGCTTCATCCTTCTCTCGTAAATGTCGTCCTTAACCTTGGTCTTGAAAAACTTTACAATGACTGTGCTGTCACCCTGGAGTCTGTGAGCGGTCTGGATGTCGCTGCCGGTGACATGTACCTCAGGGAGGCGTCGATTGAGGACAGATATCACCTTTCCTTCGATATCTTCATCGCGCTCTCTTTTTCCAAATTCCTCGCTCTTGAGTATCAGGCTGTTCATTCGTCTGTTGGTATCTATGCCTTCTAGCTGTTCCTGTAGAGCCTTAATGGTAGCTTCTTGAGAGCTAACTCTGTCCTTCAGTACGTTTGTTTCGGCATCTTTCAAGAACAGTTCACCTTCCATGATTTCAATACGTCTCTCCATACTTCTAAACTTTTCCTCCATGAGCTTCGTCACCTTTTCGATGCCTTTATCTATAATTGATTTCACGGCATCTAAGGACTCGCCGTCCAGACGGCATGAGTGCTCACCTTTTTCTGCGCTGTCTTTTTCTCTGCTGGAACGCTTGCTCTTTTTTTGACGTCTTTGTCCGTGTCCGTCATCCAGAGCCTGCATCATCTCTGGGAAAGAACACTGACGTTTTCGGCCACCTCTCCCTATCAGAACGGAGCGATCAGTGTCCTCGGCGTCACCGAACACGGAGTCCAGCTCCGATCCACCAGTGTCCGTGGTCATTTCACGCATCGACACCGAGACGAGCCGAAAATATCACTGTGTCCACCGCGAACGGGTACTGGCGTACAGTATATCTAAAAAGTATGTCCCCTGGTTTGGCTCTCCCACAGGAGGCGAATCGGTAACTTGGCTGAATCCCAGTTGCGGCACCCGGCCGCCAGGGTCGCTGCCGCGCGAGCGGCCTTGACCGCTCGCATGTCATTGGCAGTTCGGTCCCTCCCCATCTATACCGAGGTGGGGAGGGGAGAAGAGGGGAAGAGAGGGGAGGGAGCGGCTTTCGCTCGGCACTTGGCGATACCTGGCTGACCCCGCGCTCCCTCGCTGACCTTTGTCCTGCCCTCAGGCGAAGACCGACTTCCTGACCTGTAGCGGCCCAGCGGAAAACCGAGCTCGCGGGGCGCGACTCCATTGGCCCAATCTTATAAATGGAATGCTGTCGTATTCACGGCATTAGATAATATTAATAATGATACCAGCAGTGGATGTGGTAAAATACAGTCCAAAATAAACAAAAGCACACGATTCGTGCATAACGCGCCCTCCCATTCAAATAAGCCCGCCCACTTCGATAGATGGTGTAGTTTCTTAGGGCGTAAAAGATGCAAAACACTACCGATTTTTTTTTTAGCTCGGCCACTGGGACCGACAATATACAATTGACTGAAATGCATGAAAACCATTTTGCATTTAGGTAATAGCCGTTTTCTGCACCCAAACTTTAGCCAGTGACACCCTGTCCATTCTAAAGCGTTTATAAGATTGATCCCAGCACCCGATTTTATATGAGGAAGTCGTTTAAAAAGCATCTTATTTCTAACGAATTTATTATTATGGCCACTTTTACAGGACGTCTATAGAGCTTTGACTTTCACATTTCTTCCTCGTTCAGGAGAAACGTTTTAACCCTCACCGGACCTTCAGGTTTTCTGAATACCGAGGGGACGTTGGGGGTTGGAAGTGAGGAAACAACCCCCTTCGCCGATTCGCCCCTAATTGAGCTAGAGCCTCACGAAAGAAACGATCGTGTGCGTCGTTACGAAATGCAGCGATTGGTCTCCGATTTAAGGACCAGGGTCAGCCGATGACTTCGGAGGTCAGGTCAAGTGGCCCAAGGCACAGGTTCGGTTTTTGGTAAATAACTTCGCTAAAAATGATCGCAGATCCGCGATTTTAGCAGCATCGTGTTTGTCTAGCTCAGGCGTGTCGAATGGTATACTTTTTCTTTGGGTGAGATCAACTTAACCCTCGCCCGTATAGAGGGGGGGGGGTCGAACGGACCCCCTCCCTCGGTTTTTTCGCGAATAACTCGCGTAAAAAGCGGCCGATCGCGACGAAACTTTCAGTACCCTCGAGTTAATCAATTTTACACCCACCCTGAAATTGTCATGACCCTGACCTTAATGACCTTTGACCTGCGACCTACTTTTCGAGACCATGTTTGGCCGGAATCGCGATTCGGCGTATGTCGGCTCGCATTAGCGGCGCGTTTGCAGTCTTTTCGTGGTTTTAAGCGTTCAAACATGGGATATGATCTTGCTCCCATGCATTAGGGTGGGTGTCAAAGTCACCGGAAAGTCAGGTCAGGTCATTGACCTTTGATGACCTCGGTTCACTTTTTCGAGTTTTACATGTTTCTAGGCCAGTTTTAGGAGCTGTATTCGAATTTAGCAGCCATATGAACATTTATGAAGTAGTTTTGGTGCCCTCGTAACATGTTGCGAAGCTGTCAGAGGCGGTTGCCAACTACTACTACTACCCTTACTGGTTGACCTGACCTGACCTGACCCGACCTGGCCTAAATGCATGAAGACATCATCTGTGATCAAAACTAACATGATATTCGTGATCAGCGCCCCGAAAACCCCATAGCAGCCACGCTTTACGACTTTCTAACAGGTCCCGATTTCCCCGACTTTTGGGTCATTGACCTGACCTGGAAAGTCAACTGATGACCTAGGACCTTAAAATTGGGTATCATCGACTTCCTCTCTTCACGGCCAACACGCTCGTTTTTTCCGCGAAGCTCTAGCTCGATCAGGGGCGAAACGGCAAGGGGGGGTCCAACGGACCCTTATACGTTTGAGGCTGGAAAAACACCAATACGGGCGAGAGTTAAGGTGTTAACCTCGGGTCAAGGTCAGGTCACAGCCCGTCAGGTCACGAAGCTGGTCAAAGGAGGTCATATTGCATATCAATCGATTCGGCAGGTCTTTTCATGTCCATTAGTGGCTTTATCGACTCGGTAGCTTTAGTTGATCGGGAGTTATTGACGAAAAACTGATAGCCTTATGTTACGTGATAAATGACGTCACGCAAGATCAACAAAGCAAAATTGAAGCATCAGACCTTGCAAGGAGCGCATGAAATCACGATTCCGTGTGCTTGAGAATTTGAGATAGTTGTATATCATTTCCGGACCAAACTAGCAATTTCCATATTCCCCTGACTTTTAATGGTGAGAGACTGACCTAATCTCAGGCGACCCTTCAGAAAATCCTAGATATACATTTATACAAGTTGTGAGACCTCTCGATCATACTATAAGATCCTGTAAGTTTCATCTCCCTATGAAAGCTCTGCACTGAGGGTGTTGCGAAGTTGGAACATTTTAGCACAGTCCTAAAATGTTCATTTTATAGCATTATATAGCATCATTTTATAGCATACATTATTAAAATGTTTCACACAGTTCATTTTAGGACTGCTCATTTATGACGTCATAGATCAGTGACCTGACTTGACTTAAAAATGCGGTTGGCGTAAAAAAATCCGACTTATCAAATCCCGACTAAAAAAAAAATCGACTTATAATCCGGTTAATCAAATCCCGACCATGTTTTTACCTGGCCATTAATGTTCTAGCCTTACAGGTGATTGTTTGAATGCGGAAGATGCTGAATCTTGGTTAACCCCATACTTATCGTATGATAAAGAACGTCAGTGTTAGAAAGTTAATTAACAATTTTATTTAGGATAGTTTAATTCAAGTGGGTATAATCCGACTTGACAATTTACTAGGAGGGTTTTGCAGCGCTATTAGTTCGGCATTTAATTATAAATCATTGCTAATTTCGATCCGGATATCGTTATTCAATGCTGGCTTTTGCGTCCTCAGAAAAGTTGTTTATAGTCATGAAGGCTTGCATTGACCCATACTTTCCATTTTTCAGCACCATTATTCGCCGTAGTTGACCAGATGTTTTTCTTCAGCTCTCCCCTGAATCCTTTGGCTTAGACCTGGCGTATCACCCGTGCATCGCAAGACGCACCTTATACCACACATAAGTTCATGATCCCCACGAACCCACATCAGCGTCCGTTCGCTTGGTGTGTGACCCCTTGACCTTTGGCCGCGACAACTGCCGGCTTGCTGGAGCACCCCTCCCTACACGCGCTGCCCCGCCCGCTCCCCTCCCTCCCTCCCCCCCCCGGGGGTCGTGTCACGAAGGTTCGGGCTTACGCTACTACCGGCCGCTGCGCAGCTGTCACCTAGCGCTTGGGAATGTGTGGTCTGGTGCGGATTCAGCCAACTACCGGCTCGCGACACCAGCGCCACGTAGTGGCGACGGTACATTCTTTTTAGACACACTGTACACAAACACAAGCGTTCCACAAGGCTATTCCAGCGGCCGGCCGGTAACTGGCGCGGCTAGGCGACCCTACCGGCCCGGTACCTGTCCCTCAGGGCACGGCCGGCGACCCTCGCGCTCGGAGCGTCCGACCTCCACCGCCGCCGGGACGGGAATGTACAAAGGTATTCATGAAACTGGTTTACAAACGCTTGAAAGTAGCTATGACGTGTTACTACACCACTTCAACTATTTTGATACAGTCAAATGAAAAGGGACAGGACGGCACGGGAGCAGCGATGATCTTTACGGAGCACTATCTAGTCCCCTTCTTGGATCATTTAGTTGCAAGCTTTCCTATGACAAACATTCAATCAGACATGAAGGAGAAGATAAGCCGGGCTTTGTCAGAGGAAGAATCAAAGGCAATGTTTTGCTCGGTGTGCCTTTTGCCACTGACGTACAGGAGGCTGAGAGGCAAGAAGACAGTGGGAGTACGGTCCTGTGCGAGCAGTTCATGCCAGAAAATGGCACATACCAGTTGCGTTGGGGAACAGAGCGACATCTGGCTCTGTGTGCACCACCGTGAACTAGCGGGCACTGGAGCATCCGTATCAGTCTTCGGACGGCAGGAGAATCCATCATCACCGCCCGAAGGTAAAGCATCGGCTATAAACCCACAGTCAGAGCGGCAGACGACTGCACCACAATCCGGGGTACCAGGGTCGGCCTCAGGACAGCCAGGAGGGCAGCTGTCGTCAGCATCCTCCGTAACAACAGGGCTGGCCTCAAGGCATCAAGAGAAGTCAACGACTACACCACCCTCCGTGGCACCAGGTCTGGCCTCCGGACAGCCAAAGGGGCAGGCGACCATCCCACCCTCCGCGGCCCCAGGGCTGGATTCAAGACAGCTGGAGGAGCCGACAGCTACAGGACAGCCAGAGGGACCGCCGTCACACCGTCTGGGTGACAGGGGAAACCTCTACACTTCTCAGGTCACACACGACAGGGGTTGCGTTAGTCAAAACGGTGTGAGTACAAGTATGGAAACAATGGACAGAAATCTGCCATTACCAGGCCCTTCCTTTTTAGGTGTCACATTAATGGACTTGATGGAAGCGATTAGGTTGATGCAGTTCAGTATCGATCAGGTGCGGGAGGATGTAAGAGACATAAAATTGAGACAAGAGACACTGTCAAAGGAACTGTTTAAAAGCGGGCAAAATGTAAAGGAAGTAGATGCGCTGCTGTGTGACTCGTCGCCTGGAATAAGTCACAAAGGAACGAGACCCGTCGAGGCTAAACTATCGGGGGATGTAGAAAAGAGTTCGACTGATGATGGTTTAAATTCAACACATGGTCTGCAGGGGAATGGTCAGGCAGCTGTTGGTCGTCACACAGTCTGCAAAACGGTGTCTAATGTTTTTAGTGAAAATTCCGATGCTCGTAAGCCAGGGGAACGGGAGGTGCTAGTTTATGGAGACTCTCGGATCAGGTTCATGGATAGAGCGTTCTGTGAACGAAACCGGGACAAGCGATTGCGAGTGTGCTTGCCAGGGGCGAAACTTAGGGATTTATCTGATAGGTTTGATGACGTAATTCGAGGAAGCAGCCCTAACAGTGTTGTCATATTGCACGGTGGTGTCAATGATATTGGAAACACGCACTCGGAGGAACTCATTGATACCTACAGGACGGTGATCACAGAATTGGTTAAGTCTGGGAGGAAAGGCCTAGTTACTAGCATTCTGCCCAAAATTGGTGCTGGTACAGAATGGTCATCGAGGGCCATTGCGATTAACGAAAGGGTAAGGAAACTCTGTAAGAAAAACAATATAGAGTTCTTAGACTACTGGGATAACTTCTGGGATAGGAGGGACCTCTATTCGATGGATGGCTATCACTTAAGTAGGAATGGGGTGTTACTCCTGAGTGAACTTTATGAGAAAGAACTACAGCAGGGAAACTAGTGACATTTACAGGTCAGGAAGTCTCAAATAGAAATATCTCTAGGGACGTCCTCAAGTGTTTCTATACCAATGCTAGGAGTATAAGAAATAAATTCGGAGAGCTACAACTTTACATACTAACCGAGGATCTTGATGTGGTTGTTATAACGGAGGCATGGATCAATGAAAAGTTGTTAGGGGACCGTACGCAAGATTATGATATTACTGGTTATGACATGTTTGTCTACCAAAGGAAAATCAAAGTAGGTGGAGGTATTTTGGTCTACGTAAAGAAAAATCTAAGACCTTTTGAAAGGAGCGATATTGGCACGTCCAACGACGTCGAATCTCTTTGGATCGATATCTTTCCTAACTTAGGCAAAAACGATAAAATAAGAATAGGTGCTTTCTACAGACCTCCCAATCAAACACAACAAACTAATCTTGCCATGCTTGATGAGATAGAAAAGGGCATTATCAGTGAAACAATTCTTTTAGGGGATTTCAATTTGCCCAGACTTGTGGGGGGTCTAACATCTATTACTGGGGAAACGAGGCTATTCAGGGAAAACTTTGATGAACTATTTTTGACTCAACATGTTCTGGAGCCCACCAGAAAAGATGAAATACTTGACTTAATTTTAACCAACAACGAAAGTCTTATTGAAGATGTCACATTGGGTGAAACAATTGGTAACAGTGACCATGTGATTATAAGGTTCAACATTAAATGTAAATTAAAGAGAACAAGCATCAGACAAAACCTTACCCAAAATTTTGCAAAAGGAAATTCGGGCATTTTTTAGAAGCATGAAATGGGTACGAATGCTTGAAGGGAAAAATGTTCACGAAATGTGGAGTATTTTCAAAACAACAATAGCAGAGGCCCAAGATCTTTTTATTCCTATGAAAAGAAAGCTGTCAGGAAAACCATTAAAACCAATTTGGTTTAACAGTAATGTGCAAAAGAGTTTTAGTGAAAAGAAAACAGCATTTCGTCTGTTCAAAAGAGCTCCATCGGCTGACAATAAATCGCATTATATCAAAGCCAGATCGAGACTCAAAAAGATAATTCGAGAGGCCAAACGAGCAGCTGAGATTAGATTGGCAAATGAATGTGGAGGTGATCTCAAGCGGTTTTTCGGTTTTTATAAATTTAACAGGCATGATCCAAGAATCGGGTTAATAGAAAAAGATGGGCAAGTTTATCATGAAGATAAGCTCAAAGCTAGGACATTTAATGAGCAGTTTTCAAGTGTTTTTACTGATGAGTGTCTAGCAAATATGCCAATAAGTAGAAATGATGCCAGACTGTTCAGCAAACTTACAACTATCGATTTAGTTCAAACCGACATCTTGAAACATCTCGAAAGCCTTAAAGCAAATAAGGCTTGTGGTCCCGATGCTATTTCAGCAAGAATACTAAAGGAAGCTGCAAAAGAGCTTTCCGTGCCTCTTTATATAATATTCAAACACTCATTTGAAACAGGTATTATACCTGAAGACTGGAAGCATGCGTACAGTCACCAGCAGTTGCTACCCATCACCCCCGGACAGCGGGGGAGCAAGCTACCACCGCCCCTGCGAGACTAGCGCCGCCATGCGCCAAGAAGTGGAAACACCACGTGACTGATGCCACGTGAGGGCAGGGTCACGTGATGGAGGGGCGGAGCATAGTAGCTTTTGCGCCCGACACTAACTGAAATGCGGCGCTGTGATTGGGCGCCTTAGCATGAATGAAGCCCCGGCGCCAGGATCAGCCGTTCGCCTTATATGGAAAGTGAGCCTTTGCGTTTCACTGTTCTGTATTGGTTTGAGAGCCACGGCACCATACGAATTGTGAGCCCCTTTGAACGGGTCACCGCCCGAGGCACTGAGGCGACGGCTGTGCCGGGCAAAGTCTCGCCTGGTGGGAGAGGTGGGCCAGGGAAAGTGCGATCGAGCAGCCACTGGGACGTGGATTGGTATTATCCAACCGCGACAAACGATGTCAGCAGCCTCTTCTCGTGTCATAGACAGTGTCTATGACACGAAAAGCTAGACAGACAACGTGGGCAGATCCCAATCAAAAGCCAATAAACGATCCAGTTAAGACGTTGGCGAGGTAGCCAGACCAAATAAAAAGTTGTTAATTCGATTTTGGTTGACAAAATGACATACAAGCCCGCTGTGATGGACCAAAAAAGGAGCTGAACAGTTCATACAACTTCTAAAAAGCTCAACGGTTTAAAAATTCAAAAGTTAAATGTTAAAATTCAGCCTGCATGTTTAAACTCTGGTCCGGCGCTGGCATGAAGCTTATATTGCCACTTGAAATTCCACTACGTTGTAATATAACCAAGAGTTCTGTGAGAGCAGCAACTGAAAGCCCCGTTGAGGGGGAGGGCGGCGCGAAACGGCCCCCTCTCTCCTTTTCAGTCGATATCTCCTAAAGTGTAGCAAATTTCGCCACCAAACTTTCAAGACCCCGGCCGGGCATCATTTTTACACCTTGTGACCAAATTTTTCCAGAGCTCTTATGAAAGGTTAGTCACAAATGACGTCAGAGTGATGCCATGTTCTGTCATTTTCGACCCAATAAAAGGTTTAGCGGAAAGAGCTGTCACGCTTACAGTTTTGAAGATAACGAAAAATATTCAAGATCAAAAAGATGTAAAATAAACAGCGCTACCAAACTGCTAACTCTTATTTCCAAACAAAAATTGATTTGACCATCAAAACTATAGAAGTATAACACCCCGAAAATGCCAACAACTTTCAAAATTAAAACTGAAATATATGTTATAGAACTATCTGCTCTAGATATGCCAAATTTAAACTCGATAGCTCCATTTTTAGCAAAGTTTTGGCAAAAACTACTTTTATTTTTATAATTTATTACGTAAAATTTTCAAATTCAATTTTTAGCCGTCACAGAACACACAAAGCAAGCCAAAGGCCACCATTAGATTTCCTGTGATGAGCTGCATCGAATAGATGCCCCTTTTATGTAAAATATCAACTTTGAAATTTGACCTTCTTTGACCTGACCTTGACCTGACCTCCGCCAGAATTAATCTAAACTGGCCCCAATGGCTGTCTAGCTCACACCATTGAATTTTAAATGTAAAATTGGCCATAAAACATGTATCACACGACCCTAGCATAGTTGGGTTCATATTGTGACCCTTAGTGACCTGACCTCTGTGAACTGACCTGGCATCAATGAC